GTTGTGTTACAAAGTTCTTTCGTTCCAGATGTTCCACTAGCTTTTTCGCACAAACTTTTCCGTCATCTTGCATGGTATACAGGTTAGGGACATCGCCATGTTGCTCAGTTCCTCTTGTCTATCACCCTTCTTGAAAATCGGGACTGCATTAGCCGTCTTCTAAATTTTTGTCAATTCACCTGTCATCAGTAATTTGTTATACACCATAGAGAGTGGCAGGCACAGAGCTTCTGCTCCTTTCTTCAGTATCCATGGTGAAGCTCCATCTGGGCCTATAGCCTTTGTCACATCCAACTCTAGCAGATGTTTCCTCACCTCCCCGCTGGGAATCACAAACTCATCTAGTGGTGTCTGGTTAGATATTTCCTCTCTTATCTCTGAAACTCCCCCCCCCCCCCCACCCACCTCATTCCTTCCCGACGGGTAGTTGTTCCTCTGCTGCATTTCCACTCGTGATTGGGAAAGGGGTGATTGATGTTCTAGTCACTCCTGCCTACTCCCTTCTATGGGTGCCTCTTTAGGATGGGTAGTCCCACTATTTGTCCTCGCAGTAAGCGCTAGTGTATAGTTGGTTCGTTCTTGTGCCACACAGTCTCTGTGGTGTAGTGGTAAGACACTCGCCTGGCGTTCCGCGAGCGCTATGTCATAGGTTCGTATCCTGGCCGGGGAGGATTTACTGGGCGCAATTCCTTAACTGTAGCCTCTGTTTAACGCAACAGTAAAATGTGTACTTGGTTGTAACAACGATTCTTCGCGGCGGGGATCGTATTCCAGGGACCTGCTCGAAACGCTACGCGTACTAGTGGCTGTACAAGAATGTAACAACTCCTGTATTTTCTGACTTCCTCGCATTTGTCATTTGCTTTTCATCCCTGATTCACTTTGCTGCCTCCCTGTCCTCCTTAGTTACATACTTTCTAATGAATACTCCATAGTACTTTCCCTTTATCCCTCACCTGTCTCGTTGTAGTTGGTATCTGCTTAACAAAAATGCTGTTCATGAAAATAACTTTTACTAATTTATTTCATTCAGAAACCTACCTAGCTTACTGTATTGTTCCGTATTCATTGTTGATTTGCTGACCTGAATTTGTGTATGTACTCACCTATTTGTACTCACCTATTTGTGCTTGCAGGATCGAGCATTGACTCTTGGATCCCGCCTTTCCAGCTATCGGTTGTTTACAGCAATGACTCCTGTCCCATTTCCCTGTGTGTGTGTGTGTGTATGTGTGTGTGTGTGTGTGCGTGTGTGCGTGCGTGTGTGTGTGTGTGTGTGTGTGTGTGTGTGTGTTTACAATTAGTATTTACTATTTGTACCTACAGGAGCTGTTAGCTCTTGGACCCTGTCTTTCTAACCGTTGGTTGTCTAACATACTCCCGACCTATTTTTCATCATCTATCTATTACATATTCCTCTTTCACACACACATCTCCAAGAAGTAGCCCGAAGCCACTGTCTAACTCTCAGGTACTTATTTACTGCTAGGTGAACAGCGGCACAAAGTGAAAGAAACTCTGCCTATTTGTTTCTATCTCGACCAAGAATCGATCCCGGGCCTTTAGGACTACAATTCCAGAGCGTTGTTCGCTACCCGTCCTCCAAACAAAGACCCAAAGACCATTCCATGCACCCGCCAAACCCCCTGTTTATGAATGAAAAGCGGTTTACACACGACTCACAACTGCTGACGTTCGAACATATCCGGAACAAGTGTTTCACTGACGAATTTTGTTCGAATCACAACGCTATAAATGCTTCACCCACGTACTACAAATACAAATAATCGCCAACAGAACCTAAACACCTAACCTAACCTAACCTATGCCTATATATGCACAATATGCTAATATATTATAATATTAATTTATATTTGAGAAAATTCCAGTTTTGAATAAACAACATGAAAAAATTTATGAATGCGTCTGTGGGGTCGACCGCTGGATGTAATGGACACGAGTCGAGGACCGGTTGGCTGTTCGCTCCGCTGCGAGGACCTGTGTGAGTCACCTAACTCACCTAATTGTGCATGCGGGGGTTGAGCTCTGGCTCTTTGGTCCCGCCTCTCAACTGTCAATCAACTGGTGTACAGATTCCTGAGCCTACTGGGCTCTATCATATCTACATTTGAAACTGTGTATGGAGTCAGCCTCCACCACATCACTGCCTAGTGCAATAAATTTGTTAGCTATTCTGACACTGAAAAAATTCTTTCTAATGACTCTGTGGCTCATTTAGGTACTCAGTTACCACCTGTGTCCCCTTGTTCATGAGCTCTTGTGTTAAATAATCAAGCTTTATTTACTTATCAGTTTCTCTGAGAATAGTTTATGTGGTGATCATGTCTTCCCTAACTCATCTGTCTTCCAGCGACGTGAGGTTTAGTTTCTGTAGTCTTTTTAGTTAATACCCCTCACATCTGATATAAGTCAGAAGACATACCTTTGAACCTTCTCTAATTTAGTCTTGTGCATGACTAGATTCGGACTCCACGCATGCGCTGCATACTCCAGGATTGGTCGGACATATGTAGTATACAAGGTTCTGCATAATTCATAATACAAGTTTCAAAAGGTAGTTCTTCTGTTGGCCAACCTGGCATATGCCGCTGATAATATCCTCTTGATGTGGGTTTCAAGGGACAGGTCTGGCGTGATATCAACCCCGAGGTCTTCCTCCCTGTTTATCATAGGATTTTATACAGATTAACGGTCCAGATACAAAGACCTGCCCAGATGGTATGGTCCTTGAATCTGGCTTCCTGCTCCCTGCACCTACGTTCATTATTTTACATTTGCTCGGGTTAAACTCTAATGGCCATTTGTTTGACTATTCCTTCAGTCTGTCCAGGCCATCTTGAAACCTCATGCTGTCCTCTGTCTTGATCCTTCTCATAATTTTGGCATCATCAGCAAACATTGAGAGGAATGAACCTTCTGGAAGATCATTTACGTGTATCAGAAACATGGATAGGTCCGAGTACAAAATCCTGTGGGACTCCAATGGTGACTTCACGCCAGTCTGAGGTTCACCCCTCACTGTAACTCTCTGCTTCCTATTGCTTAGGTATCCACTGGAATACCCTGCCAGTTATGTCTGCCTATTTTTCTAGCTTATGCACCAGCCTCTTATGGGGTACTGTGTCAAAGGCTTTCCGACAGTCCAAAAAAATGCAGTCCGCCCATCCTTCTCTTTCTTGCTTAATCTTTGTCACCTAATCATAGAATTCTATTAGGGTTGTAAGGCAAGATTTACCCTCCCTGGACCCATGTTGATGGGTTGTCACGAAGTCTCTTCTCTCCAGATGTGTTACTAGGTTTTTTCTCACGATCTTCTCCATCACCTTGCATGGTATACAAGTTAAGGACACTGACCTGTAGTTCAGTGCCTCTTGTCTGTCGCCCTTTTTGTATATTGGTACTACATTAGCCGTCTTCCATATTTCTGGTAGGTCTCCCGTTTCCAGTGACCTACTATACACTATGGAGAGTGGCAAGCAGAGCGGTCCTGCACACTCTTTCAATACCCATGGTGAAATTCTGTCCGGGCCAACAGCCTTTATCACGTCCAGATCCAACAGGTGCCTCTTGACCTCATCTCTTGTAATTTCGAACCCTTCCAAGGCCGCTAGGTATACTGCCACCTCTCCTAGCGCAGTGACTTCACCTCGTTCTATTATGAAGACCTCCTGGAACCGCAACATCAGGATCTGCGGGTTGGTAAACGAATTCAACCAACTACGAACCACTTATTTTGATGAAAGGGAGCAGTAGAACAACAGAAGTGCACTTACATCGCATCAGGCTTGGATACCCATGTGCATGGGAAATAGGCTTACAGGTTCCGGAAGATGAGAGGAAATGTCAGCACTGTGGAGAAATGCCCGACAGACCACTGGAACATTACCTAACACAGTGCACAGTTACAGCAACAACAGACCACTGGAACATTATCTAACACAACGCACAGTTATAAACCCATTAAGATTTCAACTTAGATTCAACAGAGCAGAAGAAGTTGTTAAACACATGGGGCAAAATCTTACTGAAGCGACCATACGAGTCATAAATACTCATACTCCGCCCAAGTAAAACAGGAACAAGCAACACTTAGTGGGCCAGCCAGAGGCTTAGGGCCCGCGCAGGAATATCCCTGCAAAAAAAAAAAAAACTGAAAATCTTCAGAATGCAGTCGACAACAGTTGTCAAAGTCCCCGGTACCCTTATACTACGAGGTGAATAGAGGCATCAGATGAAAGGAAACTTTGCCCAATCACCTATCATTCTCCTTCTCTCTGTTTATATCACTCCCAGATGCTATATTTATATGTATTCATGTATGTATGTATAATATTTGACCCTTTTGACAGTTTTTCCTCCAAATATTTCTCCCTCCCGCTTTCCCTCCCTCTCTCTCCCTCCCTCTCTCTCCCTCCCTCCCTCACTCTCTCTCTCCCTCCTGCTCTCCCTCCCTCTCTCCCTCACTCTCTCCCTCCCGCTTTCCCTCCCTCTCTCTCCCTCCCTCCCTCTCTCCCTCACTCTCTCCCTCCTACTCTCCCTCCCTCTCTCCCTCACTCTCTCCCTCCCGCTTTCCCTCCCTCTCTCCCTCCCTCTCTCCCTCCCGCTTTCCCCTCCCTCTCTCCCTCCCTCCCTCCCTCTCTCTCCCTCCCTCTCTCTCCCTCCCTCTCTCCCTCACTCTCTCCCTCCCTCCCGCTTTCCCTCCCTCTCTCCCTCACTCTCTCCCTCCCTCCCGCTTTCCCTCCCTCTCTCCCTCCCTCTCTCCCTCCCTCCCGCTTTCCCTCCCGCTTTCCCTCCCTCTCTCCCTCCCTCTCACTCTCTCCCTCACTCTCTCCCTCACTCTCTCCCTCCTGCTCTCCCTCCTGCTCTCCCTCCCTCTCTCCCTCACTCTCTCCCTCCTGCTCTCCCTCACTCTCTCCCTCACTCTCTCCCTCCTGCTCTCCCTCCCTCCTGCTCTCCCTCACTCTCTCCCTCACTCTCACCCGAGGCGGTGGTGATGATGGAGGCGTGGTGGTGTTGGTGCAGCTGTTGTTCCTCCTGACTGTTGGTGTCCCGCGCCGCAGGAGTCGTCCTCCTCCGCGCCCACACTCGCACGCCCACGGCCGCCACCAGCAGCACCGCCAGCAACACGCCGCCCACGCCGCCCACCACTTCCCACCCGAGGGCGTCCAGCAGGTCGTGGGTGGCTGGGTAGTCCTCCGTGGGTGGTGGACGAGTGGATGGGGACGCTGTGAAGGGTCAGGATAGGAAACGTCAGTGCCACCTATACCATCTTGACTATCCCGCGATGCATAACCTGTGCCTCATAGCTAGTTTGCCCTATCCAGTACCACTTATCTAGTGTTTCATATCTAATTTGCTCTATCTAGTACCACTCATCCAGTACGATCTATTCAGTACCACTTATCCAGTACCTCCTATGCAGGCGATGAGTCACAATAACGTGGCTAAAGTATGTTGACCAGACCACACACTACAAGGTGAAGGGACGACGACGTTTCGGTCCGTCCTAGACCATTCTCAATCGACTTGAGAATGGTCCAGGACAGACCGAAACGTCGTCGTCCCTTCACTTTCTAGTGTGTGGTCTGGTCAAGAGTACCTCCTATCCGGAATTAAATAACCAGTGCTACAAAAACCATTAAGCAATATCACCTATCCTGTATAACTAACCAATACCACCAATACTGGACAACCTATCCAATACCACTTATGATAGACCACTTACCCATTACATCCTTATCAGTGGCATATACCTCGAGTCCCTTGTTCAGGCCAGAATCACGAAGCAGTTACGCAAGTACTTACGAACGTGTACATAACCTTTGACGGCTTTGGTTACATTTATTAAAGAGTTTATAACTCTTTATTAAACACTTTTCAAGCATGAAAACTTGTCAATTAACTGTTGTTATTGTTATAAACAGCCTCCTGGTGCTTCGGAGCTCATTACTTGTTTAATAATTGTAAACAAAGCCGCCAAAGATTGAGAAAAGATGTGGGCCAGATTGACGAAGCAGTTACACAAGCACTTAAGAACATGTACATCTTTTTATAATTTTTGGCGGCTTTGTTTACAATTATTAAACAGTTAATGAGCTGCGAAGCACCAGGAGGCTGTTTATAACAACAACAGCAGTTAACTGGGAAGTTTTCATGCTGTTAATCTGTTTAATAAATGTTACCAAAGCCGTCAAAAATTGAGGAAAGATGTACACGTTCGTAAGTTCTTGGGTAACTGCTTCGTGAATCTGCCCCCAGGGAACACATGCAACTGACAGAGCTTGGATGAGGCGCGCTTCACAGGCCAAACTATTGCGCACAGTTCATGTGTGTTCACCAGGCAACGTGCTTGACCACACCACCAACTGTCTGGTAGTACATTTACCTGACCTAACCTGAGGCCCACCATCCATCTAGTGGCCTACACATGGAGATGTCTTGCTAACATCTAGTTTATTGTAGACGGTGATTATTTCTTCTACTTTATTCATCTCTATCACTCCCTATCTGGCTCTCTATCATATATATATATATATATATATATATATATATATATATATATATATATATATATATATATATATATATATGTCGTACCTAGTAGCCAGAATGCACTTCTCGGCCTACTATGCAAGGCCAGATTTGCCTAATAATCCAAATTTTCCTGAATTAATATATTTTTTCTAATTTTTTTCTTATGAAATGATAAAGCTACCCATTTCATTATGTATGAGGTTATTTTTTTTTATTGGAGTTAAAATTAACGTAGATATATGACCGAACCTAACCAACCCTACCTAACCTAACCTAACCTATCTTTATAGGTTAGGTTAGGTAGGCGAAAAAGTTAGGTTAGGTTAGGTTAGGTAGATTAGGTAGTCGAAAAACAATTAATTCATGAAAACTTGGCTTATTAGGCAAATTAGGCCTTGCATAGTAGGCTGAGAAGTGCGTTCTGGCTATTAGGTACGATATATATATATATATATATATATATATATATATGTCGTACCTAGTAGCCAGAACTCACTTCTCAGCCTACTATTCAAGGCCCGATTTGCCTAATAAGCCAAGTTTTCCTGAATTAATATATTTACTATAATTTTTTTCTTATGAAATGATAAAGCTACCCTTTTCACTATGTATGAGGTCAATTTTTTTTATTGGAGTTAAAATTAACGTAGATATATGACCGAACCTAACCAACCCTACCTAACCTAACCTAACCTATATTTATAAGTAAGGTTAGGTTAGGTAGCCAAAAAAAGCTAGGTTAGGTTAGGTTAGGTAGGTTAGGTAGACGAAAAAACATTAATTCATGAAAACTTGGCTTATTAGGCAAATCGGGCCTTGAATAGTAGGCTGAGAAGTGCGTTCTGGCTATTAGGTACGACATATATATATATATATATATATATATATATATATATATATATATATATATATATATATATATATATATACATATATATATATATATATATATATATATATATATATATATATATATATATATATATGCGAACAAGCCTGAATGGTCCCCAGGACAATATGCAACTGAAAACTCACACCCCAGAAGTGACTCGAACCCATACTCCCAGGAGCCACGCAACTGGTATGTACAAGACGCCTTAATCCACTTGACCATCACGACCGGACATAATGAGGTGATAGCCGAGGCTATTTGAACCACCCCACCGCCGGCACTCGGATAGTAATCTTGGGCATAGCATTTTACCAAATCACCTCATTCTTTGGGGCACACGTGAGGAACACAAATGTGAACAAGCCTGAATGGTCCCCAGGACAATATGCAACTGAAAACTCACACCCCAGAAGTGACTCGAACCCATACTCCCAGGAGCCACGCAACTGGTATGTACAAGACGCCTTAATCCACTTGACCATCACGACCGGACATAATGAATGGTCCTGGGGACCATTCAGGCTTGTTCGCATTTGTGTTCCTCACGTGTGCCCCAAAGAATGAGGTGATTTGGTAAAATGCTATGCCCAAGATTACTATCCGAGTGCCGGCGGTGGGGTGGTTCAAATAGCCTCGGCTATCACCTCATTATGTCCGGTCGTGATGGTCAAGTGGATTAAGGCGTCTTGTACATACCAGTTGCGTGGCTCTTGGGAGTATGGGTTCGAGTCACTTCTGGGGTGTGAGTTTTCAGTTGCATATTGTCCTGGGGACCATTCAGGCTTGTTCGCATTTGTGTTCCTCACGTGTGCCCCAAAGAATGAGGTGATTTGGTAAAATGCTATGCCCAAGATTACTATCCGAGTGCCGGCGGTGGGGTGGTTCAAATAGCCTCGGCTATCACCTCATTATGTCCGGTCGTGATGGTCAAGTGGATTAAGGCGTCTTGTACATACCAGTTGCGTGGCTCCTGGGAGTATGGGTTCGAGTCACTTCTGGGGTGTGAGTTTTCAGTTATATATATATATATATATATATATATATATATATATATATATATATATATATATATATATATATATATATATATATATATATATTCACACATATAGGTACCAACTCTGGATGCAATTGTAATGACCCATAGCCTCAGAGAAGAGAATAAAGGGTATTCATAGAAGACCTTGTGGATTCTCACTGAACACAAACATTTTCGTCTCCTACATCTCCTACTCCTACGTCTCCTACGTCTCCTACACACACACATATAACAATCACTGTTGGAAGACCTCATCCAGCTCTCCGGAGGATGCGTGCGTGCCCAAGATACTATAAGCATTTCCTCTCTGCATCGCGACACTGAAGCGCTGGAACAGGAAACTGGCCGCTCTTGAGTCTCTAGTTTGCCTAGTGAGTTCCTCTCCCACCTCTGTTAGGAACTTAAGTGCACAGTTACCCCAGGCGCTCAGAGGCTCAGAGCCTATCGGCACGAACCTGTAACAACGTTCTAGGTCCGGGAACTTGTTAGTTTTCTGGGTCTCCCTGAAGGTGGCCGCCCCACCTCCCTCAGCTATACAGTGAAGTATATAGGTATCAGCCAATGTAGACGCACTCGTGTAATCCCATACGACCTGTTTATCTTCCCTCCATGGCTGCAGGGTGACTCCATCTGGGCGTTTCTGGCTGTTGTCAGGTCTGCACAACTGAGGTTCCCTTTGTGCTGGACACCCAGCTGTAGCCAAACTTCTCTTGATGATGTCATTGACTGCTTCATGTCTGGCAATCTTTCCCTGTGTCTTACGACAGATGAGACCATGGCTGCCGTATTGGTCTGCCCATGCATGGCCGCAAATACACCGGTGTTCGGTGGAGATAGGGGCGGCAAGGTGCAGGGTATCACCAATACTTAGGGCCCGATGGTTCAGGCGGGTGCCTAAGGCGGAATTAGGGACTGCCAACAGTAAATCCCCGGCATGGGGGGCTTGTACAGCTAGGAGGCGTGCTTTGTCCTTCCCAGTACCTGCCTCCAGCAATACTGTGGCGATGTCCTCCACTAAGGGGCTATCCCATTATGTCCTGTTTGCCATCGTTTGGAAAAGTTGGACGGCGAGTGCTGGCAAGATTGTCCCACTGGCCGCCTCCTTCAGTAACTTTGGGATCATGAATCCCAATGGAGTCTCTGAGGTATTCTGGTAGTATTTCATTCACTAATTCACTGGTAGCACTGGTCGAGGATAAGAATGCGGGCAATGCTAACTGTGTCGCCTTGCGAATACCTATACCCCCGAGTCTAACTGGGAGCGTTGCTTGGTCCCACTGGTCATCTTGCAGGGAGAGGTTTAATGCAAAACACGTGACACTAACAAGTGATGCACATACCTGTGAAGTGTACTACGGTGGGGGAGAGAGTGCGGGTGTACATGTACAAGGGCGTGGAGCGGGCGTGGGGCGTAGCCGTATACAGCACAAGGCGCAGCTGCGTCGACGGAGGTAGACCTCGTACTGAGAACTGAGGTCGTCCTTCACTGACATTCGCCACCAGTGTCTCTCCAGACCAGACCTGTTGGGTCACAGGATACCGGGTGAGAGATAGCTGGGGGGAGAACCACCTAGATGGAGAGAGATAAAATTAAGAAGTGTGGAAAAGGCAGAGGGAGCACAACCATGAAGGAGAAAGTGTTGGTGAGAGGGAGGACTGGGATGGTGGAAGTGGAGATGGAAGACTCAGGAGAGGAAAATGCAGGCAAGGAGCTAGGGAGATGGACGTATCATGGTATAGAGAAAACAAGAGAACATTAAGGAGTACTGTTTACCTGTACTAAGAAGGTGCGTAAAGGAGTAAAAAGAGAGATACGTTACATGATGTAAACAATAAAGTCGATATACGGGTTACTGGTGCACTTATTTGCCACCAGATACACAGCTACATTTACCAACGCGGGATGTGTAAGGAGATAATGCCATGAGAGGCAGCAGCATCCCAGGCCCCTAGCAGCACCTCACTGTTCTCATCAGCAGGGGTTCATTGCCTCTCCTCCGAGAGTGCCAGCACCATTTACTATATTTACAAACAACAGGACAACTTAATATTAATGCAGGAAGTGTTGAACCACTTCACTTGTTACTATAACTATTACTTATATATGTTTCCTCTACTGCTGTTACTACAGCCCCCACCACTACTGCTGCTACTACAGCCCCCCGTCACTACTGCTGTTACTACAACCCCCACCACTACTGCTGCTACGACAGCCCCCACCACTACTGCTGCTACGACAGCCCCCACCACTACTGCTGCTACTACAGCCCCCCGTCACTACTGCTGTTACTACAACCCCCACCACTACTGCTGCTAGGACAGCCCCCACCACTACTGCTGCTAGGACAGCCCCCACCACTACTGCTGCTACGACAGCCCCCACCACTACTGCTGTTACTACAGCCCCCACCACTACTGCTGTTACTACAGCCCCCACCACTACTGCTGTTACTACAGCCCCCCGTCACTACTGCTGTTGCCACAGCCCCCACCACTACTGCTGTTACTACAGCCCCCTACCACTACTGCTGTTGCTACAGCCCCCCGTCACTACTGCTGTTGCTACAGCCCCCCGTCACTACTGCTGTTGCTACAGCCCCCACCACTACTGCTGCTACTACAGCCCCCACCACTACTACTGTTGCTACAGCCCCCACCACTACTGCTGCTACTACAGCCCCCCGTTACTACTGCTGTTACTACAGCCCCCACCACTACTACTGTTACTACAGCCCCCACCACTACTGCTGTTACTACAGCCCCCACCACTACTACTGCTGCTACTACAGCCCCCCGTCACTACTGCTGCTACTACAGCCCCCACCACTACTGCTGTTACTACAGCCCCCCGTCACTACTGCTGTTACTACAGCCCCCACCACTACTGCTGTTACTACAGCCCCCACCACTACTGCTGTTACTACAGCCCCCACCACTACTGCTGTTACTACAGCCCCCACCTCTACTGCTGTTACTACAGCCCCCACCACTACTACTGTTACTACAGCCCCCACCACTACTGCTGTTACTACAGCCCCCACCACTACTGCTGCTACTACAGCCCCCACCACTACTGCTGCTACTACAGCCCCCCGTCACAACTGCTGTTACTACAGCCCCCCGTCACTACTGCTGTTACTACAGCCCCCACCACTACTGCTGCTACTACAGCCCCCACCACTACTGCTGCTACTACAGCCCCCACCACTACTGCTGCTACTACAGCCCCCCGTTACTACTGCTGTTACTACAGCCCCCACCACTACTGCTGCTACTACAGCCCCCACCACTACTGCTGCTACTACAGCCCCCCGTCACTACTGCTGTTACTACAGCCCCCACCACTACTGCTGCTACTACAGCCCCCACCACTACTGCTGCTACTACAGCCCCCCGTCACTACTGCTGTTACTACAGCCCCCACCACTACTGCTGTTACTACAGCCCCCCGTCACTACTGCTACTACAGCCCCCACCACTACTGCTGTTACTACAGCCCCCGTCACTACTGCTGCTACTACAGCCCCCACCACTACTGCTGTTACTACAGCCCCCGTCACTACTGCTGTTACTACAGCCCCCACCACTACTGCTGCTACTACAGCCCCCACCACTACTGCTGTTACTACAGCCCCCACCACTACTGCTGCTACTACAGCCCCCACCACTACTGCTGTTGCTACAGCCCCCACCACTACTGCTGCTACTACAGCCCCCCGTTACTACTGCTGTTACTACAGCCCCCACCACTACTACTGTTACTACAGCCCCCACCACTACTGCTGTTACTACAGCCCCCACCACTACTACTGCTGCTACTACAGCCCCCCGTCACTACTGCTGCTACTACAGCCCCCACCACTACTGCTGTTACTACAGCCCCCCGTCACTACTGCTGTTACTACAGCCCCCCGTCACTACTGCTGTTACTACAGCCCCCACCACTACTGCTGCTACTACAGCCCCCACCACTACTGCTGCTACTACAGCCCCCACCACTACTGCTGCTACTACAGCCCCCCGTCACTACTGCTGTTACTACAGCCCCCACCACTACTGCTGCTACTACAGCCCCCACCACTACTGCTGCTACTACAGCCCCCCGTCACTACTGCTGTTACTACAGCCCCCACCACTACTGCTGCTACTACAGCCCCCACCACTACTGCTGCTACTACAGCCCCCCGTCACTACTGCTGTTACTACAGCCCCCACCACTACTGCTGTTACTACAGCCCCCCGTCACTACTGCTACTACAGCCCCCACCACTACTGCTGTTACTACAGCCCCCGTCACTACTGCTGCTACTACAGCCCCCACCACTACTGCTGTTACTACAGCCCCCGTCACTACTGCTGTTACTACAGCCCCCCCCACTACTGCTGCTACTACAGCCCCCACCACTACTGCTGTTACTACAGCCCCCCGTCACTACTGCTGTTACTACAGCCCCCACCACTACTGCTGCTACTACAGCCCCCACCACTACTGCTGTTACTACAGCCCCCCGTCACTACTGCTGCTACTACAGCCCCCACCACCAAGACCTCTCCCTCACAACCCACCACCAGCAACACCCCCCACCCTCCAACTCACCCTCCAACCCACCCCTACCTCCAGGTTGGCTCTGCTGCTGGCTTGGGGCGACCTGACGAAGCTGAGACTCGGGGAGTGAACGTGGGCGGCGTCAGCGTGGGCGTGAGGGTCACGGGCGTGGGCGGGGTCATCACACTTGACCTCCATCCTGGTGACCCCGACCAGGGTCACGTTGCAGTCCGTCAAGGCCTTGGGCGGCTCTGTAAGTAAGCAGGAGAGTTTGGCATTCTTGGTACCTGGTAGGGGTGCCACGCTGTTGTGTGTTGATGGTGATGGTGGTGGTGGTCGTGGTAATGATGGTCATGACAGTGATGGTGATGAAAGTAAACACCATTACCATATCTACCACAACAAATGGAATGAATGCATTAGACAGTGATGTGGTGGAGGCAGACACCATGCACAGTATCAAGTAAAGATACGATAGAGCACAATAGACTAACAAATCTGAACACCAGTTGAATTACAGTTGAGAGGCGAGACCAAAGAGCAAAGCTCAACCTTGTCAAGCACAACTACACACACACACTCACACACACACACACACACACACACACACACACACACACACACATATATATATATATATATATATATATATATATATATATATATATATATATATATATATATGTCGTACCTAGTAGCCAGAACTCACTTCTCAGCCTACTATTCAAGGCCCGATTTGCCTAATAAGCCAAGTTTTCCTGAATTAATATATTTACTATAATTTTTTTCTTATGAAATGATAAAGCAACCCTTTTCACTATGTATGAGGTCAATTTGTTTTTATTGGAGTTAAAATTAACGTAGATATATGACCGAACCTAACCAACCCTACCTAACCTAACCTAACCTATATATATAGGTAAGGTTAGGTTAGGTAGCCAAAAAAAGCTAGGTTAGGTTAGGTTAGGTAGGTTAGGTAGACGAAAAAACATTAATTCATGAAAACTTGGCTTATTAGGCAAATCGGGTCTTGCATAGTAGGCTGAGAAGTGAGTTCTGGCTACTAGGTACGACATATATATATATATACATGAACACGTAAGAGTGTTCGCTTCTCCTACCACCCCCCTTTTTAATGGTGTACACTTTACTATGCAAGGTTATACAGCTACATATCTGATTTTATTCAAAAAATGAACATTAAAAGGACACAGGAAAAAGTTCGCTTCCTAGAGGCTGTAGATTTCCTCGAACTCCTCCGACGCTGGGCAGGAACCGAGGATGCCATGGGCATTCCCCCTCTGGATCGCGACACTGAGGCGCTGAAAGAGAAAACGTGCCGCTCTAGGGTCTCTTGTAGTGTCAATGAGCTTGGAACCAAGATCCTTAAGAAACCTTCTTGCACTCTCTCCCCATGGGCCTAGGGTCTCAGACACTATTGGAACGAAGTTGTACCGATGATCTAATTGCCTGTACTTGGTTGACTTGTGTCTTTCTCTGTGTGTCGCCGCGGCTCCTGCTTGGCCGGCAGAGAGGTTGATGTATGTGGTTGCCAGGGTGGATACACAAGTATAGTCCCACGCCAACTTTCTACCACCCTTCCACGGTCGCAGTGTGATTCTGTCTGGTCGGCTGGCAAAGCTAACAGAGTCACGGTTCAGTAGGTTGCGGGGCTCTCTCTCCGCTGGACACTGAGCAGAGGCAAGGCTTCTTTTAATGATGTCATTGACTTCGTCGTGTCTAGTGTGCCAACCACCAGATTTTCCACAGTGCAGGCCATGCAATCCATATTCGTCAGCATCTGCCTCGCTGCAAATACACCTGTGAACAGTGTGGATAGGGGCAGCAAACGCAGAGCAACTGCAATACGGAGCTCCTGCGGATCAAGACGTGTGCCTGTCGCAGACATAGGGACTGCCAAAAGGAAGTCCCCTGCATGGGGAGCCTGCACAGCTGTGAGGCGTGCACGATCACTGGGGGTTGTTGCTGCCTCCAGCAAAGCTGTGGCTTCTTTGTCTACAATGGGGCTGTCCCAACTGGATTGTTTCTTGGCTTTCGGCATGGCTGGTCTGAGTGCTGGGTCTGCCATGGCACCCCATTTCGTGTCGCAGTCCGTGTAGTGGGGTCCTGTATCCCCGCTACATCACTCAGGGTGTCAGGTAGAATTTCCTTAACCAGGCCATCTGATGTTGAGGATATATATATATATATATATATATATATATATATATATATATATATATATATATATATATATATATATAAACATATTGGGAAAGGGAAGCAGAGAGAGGAGGCAGTCACGTCTGCGACCTGACCTCCCAGGTAGACAGGTCCCAAGGGAAGCGTGTCACCTTGAACAGAGATAGTGTAGTCTAGAAAAGTTCAGGAAACAAGAGGTCGGAACATAGGAATGAGTTTAAAAAACTCCACAAAAATACTCAGTATTTTATAATCCTAACGAAATTGTAAATAAATGGCAGAGCAACAACTGAGGGAGAGGAGCAGGTAACGCCAGCCCCGTGGACCATCATGTGTCATCTATAGAACACGGGGCCACTACCCTTGTGGTGTACTAAGGCTAACTCATAATTCGCAGAAAGCAGAGACGGAATTATTATTAACTTATGAAAATAAAGTTGAGTTTTCTTTCTCTATGCTCAATAATCCCTTATTCAATAGTTAAGAGTCCTACATAACATATTATAAGGTTGTTCTCTGAGTCACTACCCCAGTATATATGTATTTGTTTGGAGGCCAACTCTCACAGTAGACTGATATCATATACATTTTTGGAGTCTGGTTTAGTTTTCTGTTGTTATTAACATTTATGTCGGTTATTTGATTTTGCCTTTCCCCACAACCCAGATCTTTTTCTCGTCCTGACACCTGAAGGATTCCTCTCCCAGCTGGTACCTTGTGTTTGGCATCCTGCTCCCTATGCCTATCTTCTTCACTTTACACTTGCTCGAGTTAAACTCTAGTAGCCATTTGTTGGACCATTCCTTCAGTCTGTCCAGGTCATCCTGTAGCCTCTTGCAGTCTTCCTGTGTCTTAATCCTTCTCGTAATTTAACATCTCAGCAAACATTGAGAGGAATGAGTCTATACCTTCTGGAAGATCATTAACGTATATTAATGATATATGTATGTGGGTGATATATGTATGTGGGTGATATATGTATGTGGGTGATATATGTATGTGGGTGATATATGTATGTGGGTGATATATGTATGTGGGTGATATATGTATGTGGGTGATATATGTATGTGGGTGATATATGTATGTGGGTGATATATGTATGTGGGTGATATATGTATGTGGGTGATATATGTATGTGGGTGATATATGTATGTGGGTGATATATGTATGTGGGTGATATACAGTCACCGGCAGTACAGTCGGGGTTCATTTTCGACGCACAATCGAATATTCCAGGTTCGAATTGAGCGGGACAGAAATGGTTGGGCACATTTCCTTTCATTCAATGCCTCTGTTCACCTAGCAGGGAGTAGGTACTTAAGAGTGAGTCAGCTTCTTGTGGGGTTGCACCCTGGGCGGGGTCAGTAATTCGGCCTTGGGGGGGGGGTGGACCTTGATAAAAGCCAAAACGTGTATGAATACACTCTGGCTTCCTGTCCCCCAACACTGTGAATTATTATTGATATTATACGTATATCACGTGTGAGTGTGTATTTACTATTTGTATATGCAGAATCGAGCTATTAGCTCTTGGACCCCGCCTTTCTAACCAATAAAACACACACACACACACAAACACATCCCCAGGAAGCAGCCCGTAGCATCTATCTAACTCCCAGGTAAATCTCTCTCTGACGAGAGAGATTTCCTTATTTACGGCTAGGTGAACAGGTGCACCAGGTTGAAAGAAACGTTTCCCATTTGTTTCTGCCTCCGCAGAAAAACGAACCCGGACCATTATGACTACGAGCCCCAAGCACTGTCCACTCAGCCAAGAGGCCCCCATGTGTGTGTGTACAACTCGCCTAGTTGTGCTTGCGCGGGTTGAGCTTTGGATCTCTGGTCCCGCCTCTCAACTATTAATCAACTGGTGTACAGATTCTTGAGCCTCCTGGGCTCCATCAAATCTGATTTGAAACTGTGTATGGAATCAGTCTCCACCACATCACTGCCTAATGCATTCCATTTGTTAACTACTCTGACACTGAAAAAATTATTTCTAATGTCTCTATGGCTCATTTGGGCACTCAATTTCCACCTGTCTCCCCTAGTGCATGTGCCCCTTGAGGTAAATAGCGTGTCTTTATCTGCCCTATCAATTCCTCTCAGAATCTTGTATATGATGATCATGTCCCCTCTAACTCTTCTGTATCCTGGTGACCAGAGGTTTAATTCCCGTAGTCTCTCCTCGTAGCTCATACCCCTCAGTTCGGGTACTAGTCTGGTGGCAAATCTTTGAACCTTTTCCAGTTTAGTCTTATGCTTGACTAGATATGGACTCCATGCTGCAGCCGCATACTCCAGGATTGGTCTGACATATGTAGCATACAAAGTTCTGAAAGATTCCTTACATAGGTTTCTAAAGGCCGTCCTTATGTCAGCCAACCTGGCATATGCTGCTGATGTTATCCTCTTGATATGAGCTTCAGGGGACAGATCTGGCGTGATATCAACCCTTTATCAGGTCTTTCTCTCTGATTCTTGAAGGATTTAATCTCCCAAATGATACCTTGTATCTGGTCTCCTGCTCCCTACACCTATCTTCATTACATTACATTTGCTTGGGTTAAACTCTAACAACCATTTGTTCGACCATTCCTGCAGCTTGTCCAGGTCTTCTTGGAGCCTCAAGCTGTCCTCCTCTGTCTTAATCCTTCTCATAATTTTGGCGTCGTCAGCAAACATTGAGAGGAATGAGTCTATGCCCTCTAGGAGATCATTTACGTATATCAGAAACAGGATAGGTCCGAGTACAGAGCCCTGTGGGACTCCACTGGTGGCTTCACGCCAATCTGAGGTGTTACCCCTCACTGTATCTCTCTGCTTCCTATTGCTTAGGTACTCCCTTATCCACTGGAGAGTCCTACCAGTTTCTCCAGTTTATGCATCAACGTTTTATGGGGTACTGTGTCAAAGGCTTTCCGACAATCCAAAAAAATTATATCCGCCCATCCTTCTCTTTCTTGCCTAATTTTTGTTGCTTGGTCATAGAATTCTATTAGACCTGTGAGGCACAATTTATGGGCGCGCGCGCGCGAGGCAGACAGGT